TATTCCCAGTTCCCACAGAAACTGGTGGATGCTGCAATCTTTCTCTGAAAGGTAACTTCCAGGATTAGGGTTCATGTTTTCACTGTAATATATCTCTGTTTGCTAAGATCAATTATGGCATGAGTTTATTATCCAACATAGCCTTTGGTGGGAGTATTAAATGCTATTCTTTCAGAAGAGTGGACTTCATGATCCAACAGGTCTTTCCATCTCCACTATGATACTGCTATCTGACATGATTAAAATCTCTCCAGTACACTTTCACACTAGTTCTTAATCCATTCATATAATGTGCATGAACCCAAAAGCACTGAAAACTTTTCAGAATTTCTGAAATGAATGATCCCTGCTAGACTTTTATCCTCTGGAATCAATTCCAACATATCTATGAACCATCTGTGTCTGATTTTTTATGGAAGTCCAAGGTAGGCTGTACATTCCATGGACCAATGACCATTATCTTATATGTTTATAGTGTGACAAATAGTCTCTTCTTGTCAACAAACAACAAAGCCAGTGAGTAAAGTTGACATTAACACCAACAAGGATTTCTCCCCATCCAACAAGATTGCCCCCTTTTCATCTATGGACTCTGGATATTTACATTATGTTTCCATTTTATCAAAATTAGCTGTCTATGAAAAGGTACTGATTTAAAAATATGTTCACACACAAAAGCTGACAGATTTTAGCTGCTTGGTCCAACTTTCCATTTAGAAATAATCCCGACAGAACAACAAAACCAGTTCATTCAAAATGAGGTGTGACCAGATGACAGAACAAAGGCAAACCACACATTCTGTAAGTTATTTCTGATTAATTTTAATTTTTTATATCCATACACTAAAGATGGGTTTTCATAGTGAGCAAAACTTGCTTGCTTAAAACTTAGAGCCAGTTATCATTCACATATTTATAATAATTTATTTTCAGTAGTCAGTTGGCTTTCAAGGACATGGTTAAAACAAAGTTTTACTTTCTCTCAGACCACCTGCTTCTCTGTATGATGCTGTAGTGAAGCCCAAAGGTGGAGTTTTCAAAAGTAAACAGCACTGACCCAATACAGCTCCTGTGGAAATCCCATTGTTTTCAGTAGGAGCAAAGTTAAGTCAGTGCTCAGCACTTTTGAAAAATCTCATCCGTCGTGCAGAATGTTGCACATTACCAACCTAGCCAGCATGTCTCACTGTGAGGTCATAAACATGGGCTGATGGGTCAGTCCTGCCCTCATGTATGACTGAGGCACTTCACTGTCAGCAGAATTAGGCCCAGTGGAGTGTCACTGAAGGCAGAGCATGGACTTACAATTTCAGAGCACAATGACTCATAGTGACCCTGCGACTGTGAGAAAGCAAAGTCCCTATTTCAAAAGCCAACTTTGGCAATAGGGAAAATATGAGAAGTTGTTAGCACTCTTTATATAAATTTTCACCTCACATACTTTTATCCTAGTACACTTATTGTTACTTATGTTGCTTTTTTATTAACCAGTTTGAAAATATAAATACACAGTTGCATTTTAACAGTTTTTTTTTCAAAAAAGAATATAAATTACACAGTTATTCTTTCCAATATGCTACTCTGAGGCAGTTAAAGAAACTGCCAGAAAATACACATGATTCTTCACTTATATCTGATGAGATCAACACTGCCAATAACTTTTTATCTTGTCACCAAATGCAGAACCCTTTCCCTTACACAGAGTCACTGAGGTTTTTCCATCCCTTCCCATGCTGGCAGCTACGGAGCACTAACACTCCATTGTAAAGCATCAAAGCTCTTCAGAGCCTTGACCAACACCATACTAGGAGTGGCTAACAACAGGCCCGACAGCCAGGGAGTCAGGGAAGGGGCAATTGCCCCGGGGCCTGGAGATTCTAAGGGGGCGGGGCTCCCAGTCACCACTGCCACTGCTACTATGATAGCAGTGATGGCCAGAGCCCCGCCTCCTTTTCAATTACCACTGCAGCGGTGCTCTGTCATTCCACGTGGTTCTGAGACTGGGGAAGGGAAATGCACCATGGTCTGGGCAGCGCTGAGGGCTAACTGCCACTGACTCCACTCCATACGCCCAAGGCCCTGCCCCTTCTAGGGGCCTGAAGCCAGCTCCCCCACACACTTTGCCCCGGGGACCACCGTGGCTATCAGCCCTGATGGCTATCAAGATGTCCCCAAGGGCAATTATAATGCCGATAGGCAAAACTGAACCTGGGACTTCTGAAGCTTAGTGCATGAGCCTCTACTGCATGAGATAAAAGCCATCTGGTTCTCAATTAAAGCTGGAGAGCAGACTCATTATTTTCTCTGTCAGTGGTCTTGGTGCCACTAGATGGGTCAGTACACCACACCCAGTAGGTATGTGAGTTACATGATATGGCATACATAACCACTTAGCAATCCCACAGACGGACAGTTTCTAATCACAATATTGGTTTGTGACCCAGGCTCATATCACCTGGCTGCTACCAGCAACCAACTGCTATAGGCTACCACACTCTGGCTTCTGATTCCATTAAAAATGTGTAAAGTCCTGTCATTGCAATCAACCAGGCCAGCAAAATTTTCTCAAGGACAGCCCCATAAAGATGGAGACCTGCATTGTCCCAACAGAACAAGGTTGCCCATTTTAAAGGCAAGTACCATTATCATTTCACTTGCCTTTTAAGCATATTTTTTAAAAAAGAGAAAGAGACCCAAATTCCTTTGCAAGAACACATTGTTTCTGGGAGTCATCATGCTAATAATGAACAAAAGAATTACTGTACACAAGAAGGCTATAGGTGACATTTCAAGATCTAAATGATTATTCTTTTCTTTACTTTGACAACTTCCAGGTTACTAATTGTTTTCTAAGCATTTTAGGCTCCGTGAAGCTGGCATGATGGGGAAATGCTATTGTTTACCCTTTCACACTTGACAAAAGCAATTCCCACGTGAAAGACAAGTTTGGCCGTGGGACACAGTCCCAATACCTAAAGGAGGAAACAGTCGGTAAGTTCCCAAGAGCAAGGAGTTGTCATGTTGTCACCCACTTTGTTCCTTTGCAGTGGCTATTTTGGTCACTATGGCTTGTTTTGTTATGGCTTATGCAAATCCTATATAAATGATCAGTCATAAAAGAAACAAAAAATTATAAAAGCAACATATTGTAAAAAAATAAAGTTATCAGCTCTATTAAAAATAGTAACTTCTTCCTTATACTGAATATATAATACACAGAAACACCTCATAATGAAATCATGTAAAAAGGAAACACTGGAAAGGAAACTTAGATTACCCTCAATTCTCCTTCAGTAGTGTGGCCATTTCTTAATCCCCATAATAAATCCTATTGTCATCAGCACACCAAAAGGAAGGGATTTTAATGGCCTTAATTTTAATTTTAAATTTTGAAGACTGTAGTAGACATTTCACTGTGATGTCTATAGCCTTGTCAATGGATTGAGGGTAGCACTGCTACTTTAATGAGATAATTATGACATTACAAACTCCTTTATCCTCCTGCCAGCCATAGAACAGTCACTGATGTCCACAAGACTTTTCCGGTCATGCAGTAATTAACTTTAAAACTGACTAACCCAGCAATGAGAAATTGACCTGGATTTAATTGGAGAAACAGGATTCATCTCTGTCAGTTTTGAAATCCTCATGATTAAAAATGATAAGATACGTCTGTGCATAATATCAACATTTTTATTTCTTTCCTGTGTCCACAGGGCCTTCCTTGAGAAGATACTTCATAAGATTAATGTACTTAGCGTAAAAAATTATTTCAAATAAATAAGCATTAGAACTTGCTCAGCAGGCAATATTTATAAATCCACAAAAATCAGATTGAAATGAAAACGTATAGTCCAGTAAATCTCAAAATGAATTGTGCTCATTCCACACTTTAAAGTTAACTTATTAATTGTCCATTGTTGATCAAAAACAGCAGTTTTTAAAGTTAATCAGTTTATGCAGCTTTGACACTTTCGGAGAAGCTGATACCAAAGCAGAAGATAAAATTGGTCCAAAGTTTTCATTATCATTCAGTAGGAGGCAGCAAGAGACACAACAACACAACATACACAGTGCAGTACAGGGGATCTTCCAAACCCCTACTTCCACCAGCTTTGCCAAAGCAGAACACACCGTCTGAACTGAACTGGAAGCCCGTGTGTTATGCTTTTGTTTCGCTATTCCTCCTATGTCCATACCCATTTTTGGAGGTGCACTACCTCAGAGCCTGAAAGGGAGCAACTGGAATAAAAAAATCAAGATGATATCAGACAACTGTGACTTTTTAATGAGTCCTTTAATGTTTTACATTGTTTTGTGTTGTACAATCATTCCTTGTGCTTTTAAATTTGAGGATCCGAGAGTTAACAGCCTTTTTGTTGCAGTGCTCACCTCTAATTGTAACGTCTTTCTTTTGAAGCACTTCTTCCCCCGAGTATATGTTCCTTGCTCTGCAGGCATAGGTGCCTGAATGTTCCAGGGAAACATTCTTGATGGTTAGAATGAGAGTATTGGAGTATTCCTTAGTGATGTGCTTTTTTGCTTTTGTTTGATTATTAACTGTCCTCGGCAAAATCCAAGCAATGTCTTTGTACAGGAATTTGTTGGCTGAACAGGACAATATCAGGTTCTCTCCTTCAATGGGCATTTTTTCCAAATTAATATGAAATCCATTTGGCACATCTGTCAAAAACCAAGAACACTTTTAGTTCATAGGAAATTCATGTGCCAAAATTAAAATAACATCTATTTTCCTGTTAGCCTGAAAGTCCTTCAGCTAACATTTCAATGGCTTCCTGCCGAAATTTCTAGCCTTTCTTCCTAGTCTCTGAACTGTCTCTATTCTTTAATGCAGTATATTTGCAGTCATGCCAGTCCCAGGATATTAGAGAGACAAGATGGGTGAGGAAATATATTTTAGTGGACTGACTTCTGTTGATGAGTGAGACAAGCTTTCAAGACACAAAGAAGAGCTCTGTGCAGCTCAAACGTTTGTCTCTCTCACCAAGGTCCAATAAAAGATATTACCCATCCTGCCTCTCTTCTTCTCACATGACTCAACAAAGAGAGCACTCTGCACTTGTAATGGATACATCAGGCCTGCTCTTCAGCTTGTGTAAATTGGCATCTCAACATTGACTTCACTGGAGCTTAGCAATTTGACGTAGGTGAGGATCTGGCCCATCTTTTTAAGACAGTCTGAAGCAGAATACAAAAAATAGCCAGTATTGAAAGAGGGCACACTTAGATCATGGAGAGAAATAGGTGGTTTCAGCTAGAGCTAGTGCAATAGTTTAAATAGCAAAATATTTTATTATAGTGATTTCTCATTATTTGTGAGTATTCAGACAACTGTTGGGTGTTTATTAAAGCTCTTGCAAATCCTTAAGACTTAATGATTATTTTGATTTAATGATTATTTTCTGGGAATTCATGCTGGAAGTAAGCTATTTCAGACACCCAACCAGCGATCAAAAACAACACCATGTGATCAACCACAGAGCTAATATTTGATCATAAACAGGTCTAAGGATGAAAATTACTCATTCAAACTACGAAGTGAACACTTGCAAATAGCGAGCCAATTCAAAGAAAATTGGGATCAGCTCATCAACAAGTTGCTAAATATAAACGTTGCAAAATTTATTACTAATATGATTTGTAATGGGTAGTTTGACCAGCTGTTAGTTCAGCCAATAATAAATAAAAGTAGATTTGTGGTTCATCTGGGCTGGAAAGTGCTGGATAGCCCATGCCTGCTTACACAGTCTTTTGAGGCTTGATCTTGCTCCATGAAAGCCAATATGAATTATGCCATTGGCTTCAGAAAAGGCTTCTTGTGAAAATCAAATTAAAATAGCAGTTCCAGAATGGAACCTCTCATGGTTTAATTTAAAATTATTTCCTCTTGCTTGTTTAATTGCAACTGACTTATACAATTTGATGACAAGAGGTGGCAGGCTTCATTTGTTCTCTAATTATTGATTTCCTTAGTCTTTGTTTGTGAACTTCACTTGAAATAACAGAAGCAGGGATTGCATCTGGTATTATTTCCTAGATTCCACCTAGATTCCACTTCAGTCTGTTTGTTAGAGCATGAAATTACTGTAATTCATGTCTTCATGCATTTGTCTCATGTATCTGAAACCTAAACTCCTCTTGATGAAGACTTACATTTAACATTGTACTTCCTTATATTAATTTTGAATGGATCCATTAGGTTAGCTATTGGGTAAATGAGCTCATACCAAATCCCAGATCCTAACTCCCTCCACTTTTGGAAGTGTTCAGAATCCAGAGAGGGACCTACATTTTGTGGTTTGAATAAGTGTCCCCCGTAAGCAGGGCACTAGAGCTATCACTCAGGAGAGACTCCAGAGCCACTTAGCTGACTAGCAGAGCGCCCACAGCTGGGTTTTGTGTTTCTAGTGGTGGAGCACATTTACACATGCCTCAGGGCTCATAAAAAATGTACTCCGAACATGAATGGAAAAAAATGAGCACATGGATGGAGCAGATTAGAGGGAACATTGGTTTGAATCCATCTTTATTGTTGCACTGAGAAGGAATGTGTATTCTCCCTTCTGTTGACACAGAAATGTCAAAAATGAGTTGAACAGAAACTGCTACATCATATTGGATATGTGCTCAGTTACTTATTGTGTAATGCACTTAGTAGTCTGCCCTTTTTTCACCTCTCTCACACAAAAGCACATTGTGAAAACCTTAAATTTAAGAGATGAGAGTGAAAAATAAGAGCTACTGAGCCGTATTTGATGCAAGCTAGCAACTGCTGCAACTTATTTGTTTCGTCCAAGGTTATGTGAGACCAGATTTTGATCTCATCAAAACCAATGTGAATTAAGAGCTCTTGAGAGCTGAACTCCCCTTTGAGGTAACTGGCTTGTGTTAAAACATTAGCCATAATCAGACATGAACCCAATTCTTGCTTAAGGTACACTATCTGGCTTACCTGAGTCACTACACCACCTGAGGCAAGCTCTGAATTTGACCCAGTGTGTTAAGAAATAGCAAAGTATCCATCTGAAGGGGTTGAAGTTTTTGTTTTTGTTGGGGGTTTTTTTTTTTTGGTGTGTTGTTTTTTGTTTTGCTTATGAAAATGTCAGTGCTCAGTAAAGAGTAGGAAAAGCAAAGCAAAACTCTTAAGACAAAATCACGGAGCACCCTGAAACTCAACAGAAGATGGCCTATTTTTAATATAAAACTTCTGTGCCCTCAGAATAACATAGCTAATAACATAGCTTCATGGTGTCACTTTTGGGACATTTCTTAGATGTCACCAATGAATAAAAACACTTTTTAAAACAATACTGAGGGGAAACACCCTACATTCCAATCAAATCATTTTGTTTAAAGACTCTAAGCCCCTAATATATGACACCTAGCTCCAAATCGAATAACCTCAGGCGAGCTAAGTAACATGCCTGGAATAATGTAAAAGAGTTTTATTTACTTTAGTGATTTGAAGCTTCCTGTGGAAATAGCTCCCAGGTTTCCTGATGGAAGATTTTGTTTATCTTTGCCAAGCACCATCAGGAATCTCAAAATAAAACACGTCTAGTGACATTGGGAAACCAGAGAGATAAGGCAAAGCCGTTCCTGTCTCACCCTCAGTAATTGCCAACACGCCCATGGGCCTGCTGTGTGCCAGCAAAATATCCCAGAAAGTAGGGGAAGGGACAGGTTGGAGACAAGGGAACCAATGCAGTATAATTTGGCACACGGGAACTGATTTTGAGACTGCCCCAGTACCAATGACCAGGAAGTCTTCCAGGAGGGAATAGGCCATATCTTCTCTGCATAGGGTACATGTCTGTTGTTATTGAATGGACTAAGACAAAGATGCACATTTTAAAACATATTGAAACAAAGCCTAAAAGTGCCCCCGTTCATAGGAAGGAAAAGCTATTCATAGGCATATCTGATTCACTTCTTGAGATCCCAAATCACATTTCCTTCAAGGGAGGGGTGCAAAGTTGCACCACTTTTAAATCTCCCAAAGATATCATGGGAATTAGACTCCAACCTCAGAAATACGAGGGGCTCTATATTAATAAACATGTGGGCTTGACCCTGCCTGACCATCTCCAGCCTCTCCCCTGTACTTCCTTGTATTTGCTTCCCCTCACCCATATCCCTCTCTATAGGAAGCAGGGCATGTAGAGGTAATGCTAGTGCTGCCAGGAGTAGTCCTAGCCTCTGCCAGCTTTCCAGGTGCTATTTCAGCCACTGTCAAAGAGGAGCATGTCACGTAAAGAAGCTTCCCTTCTCTGGCCTCCTAATTCTTCCCACTTCTCTAACACCAGCTTTCTTCCCACTTAAAAGTCAAGGATTGAACCACACAATAATTCAAATAAGGGGGGGTACGTCTACACTACAGCGCTAGTTCGAACTAACTTAGTTCGAATTAGTTAATTCGAACTAAGCTAGTTCGAACTAATGCGTCTAGAACTAAAAACTAGTTCGAACTAGCGTTTTGCTAGTTCGAACTAGCAAGTCCGCATTGAGTGGACTCTGAACAGGGCTTAAGGATGGCCGGAAGCAGTGCCGGCAGGGCATAAAAGGAGGACTTAGAGCATGGAGATGCTGTCTCAGGCTAGCCGAGGGCTGCGCTTAAAGGGTCCCGACCCCCACCCCGGACACACAGTTCTAAGGGGTGCCCCGCTTGCAAAGAAGTTCTGGCTTGGAGTGCCCTGAGTGCCCACACTGGGCACATCACACCACTCGGCCATCAGCCCAGCTGCACTTGCCGCAGGCTGCCATCTGGGGAGAGGGAGTAATTGGGGGGCTGCAGGAGAGCTTCCACCCTCAGAAGCCCGCAGAGCCAGCCCAGTCCTCCCCATCGGGGGCTCGTACCCCATTCCTCCCTCACCTCCTTCCACTTACCCTTCCCTAGCCCCCCTTCTTATTGATGTACAAAATAAAGATAACGTTTCTTCCAACATTGACTCTGTCTTTATTGAAAAAAACTGGGGGAGACTGGGAAAAGGAGGTGGGAGAGGGGAAGAGAAAGGCTGGGAGAGGGGAGGGCAACTAACATGATCAGGGGTTGGGAACAGGTCCCAGATGAAGAAAGGCTACAGAGACTGGGACTGTTCAGCTTAGAAAAGAGGAGACGGAGGGGGGACAGGATAGAGGTCTCTAAAAGCAGGGGTTGGGTGGAGAGGGTGCATTCAGAAAAGTTCTTCCTGAGTTCCCATAAAGAAGGACTAGAGGACACCAAAGGAAAGGAATGGGTAGCAGGCTTGAAACTAGTAAGAGAAAGTTGTTCTTGACAAAGCAAATAGTTAACCTGTGGAACTCCTTGCTGCAGGAGGCTGTGAAGGCTACAACTAGAACAGAGTTTAAAGGGAAGTGAGATCAAGTCATGGAGGTTGGGTCCATGGAGTCCTATTAGCCAGAGGGTAGGAGTGGTGTCCCTGCCCAAAGTTTGTGGAAGGCTGGAGAGGGATGGCACGAGACAAATGGCTTGGTCACTGTCTTCGGTCCATCCCCTCCAGGGTCCCTAGGGTTGGCCGCTGTCGGCAGACAGGCTACTGGGCTAGATGGACCTTTGGTCTGACCCAGGACGGCCATTGTAAGCTCAGGGCTCAGGGTCGGGGGTCTCAGTGGACCCCCTTGATTTTCATGCACACCTGCTCCTGGGTGGCCAGGCTGGCAGC